ATATGTGTGCCTTTTTTTTTTCCTTAAATGTCACTCTTCTTCCACTCTGCACCCCCATTTTGTAAACATGTAAAATTAATGCATATGATGAGACACATAATCATTGTTTTAAGACCACAGTAAATTAATGCTTATGTAAAGCCATTTAGTCCACTTTCAAATTTTGCTTTCATCGGGCCGTGCCTGTGACTCAGTGAGTAGGGCACAGGCCCCATATACCGAGGGTGGCGGGTTCAAACCCAACCCTGGCCAAACTGCAACAAAAATATAGCTGGGTATTGGGATGGGTGCCTGTAGTCCCAGCTACTCAGGAGGCTGAGGCAAGAGAATCACCTAAGCCCAAGGGCTAGAGGTTGCTGTGCGGTGTAACACCATGGCACTCTACTGAGGGCAACAAAGTGAGGCTCTGTCTCTAACAGTAAAAAGAAAAATTTGCTTTTGTTGTAGCATTTACATATTCTCCAAGATGAAAGTATAATTTTAATATGTTTTAAAAGTAGAACTACATTGCTTTTCAAAATCTGGTAAAACTTCTAAGAAAAATAGAAAGGCTATATATCCTTTCTCAAAAAAGAGGACAGTTTGGCTTTTATAGAATTCTTCAGTTTTTTTTTTACCAAAGTAGCATTTCTGCTCCTGTTTCTCTGTGTTTTGCCTTTGTCTCTTGCCTAGATTAGGATTAGCCTCTAACTGATTTCCTGTTCTAACATTTTCTTCTTTGTTCTGTCATTCACACTGCTGTCAAGTTCTTTTCTCAAATACATATCTGATCATTTCCCTGCTTAAAAATCTTGAGAAACTCCTCACTGTGATTAAAAAGTTGTCCATATTACTTAGCCTAGTCTTCAGGGTCCTTCAAAAATAGTGCCCAGGCTGTTTTCCATTCTTATCTTATTTTTCCCATGCTGAAACTGCTCTCCATTTTTTCCCATGCTGAAACTGCTCTCCATTATTTAATCTGACATCTCAGAACTTTTACCCAAAATTGCTTCATTTCTCTCTGCTGAGCAAAATAAGTCTCATCTTTTAAGACCCATCCCACTACACTGCCAATTCATTTACACTTCCTCCCTAAGAGCCTTAAATTTTGTCTCTAAGATGGTTCTTTTTGTGTATGAAAAGTACCCTCTTCAGCATTTGAGGGGGATTCTGGTCAGCTGGGGTAACCTTGGCACTGGGGTATGGTAAACAGCTCTCCCCTCACTCCACCCTCCAGCTCCACCATCACCATCCAAATCCAGGCTCCTGTCACCCCTCTCCAGGGCTGCCACACTATGTTCCTGATGGTGTCTCAGCTTCCATTCATGATTCCTTACAATCTCTTCCTTTTAAAAACTATTAATTAGATTACATGTATAAGCTGTCAGAAACCTTTACTGTCTCCCTGTTTTGGTTAGGAATATATTCCAGACTTCTCACCTCATAGCCCACAAGGCCTCGGCATGAGCTAGCCCCTGGCTTTCTGTACAGCTGAGTTTATCTTTCTCGCGTGTTTGGCATACACTACCCTCCTCACTCCCACACACTTCCCAGGCCGCCTGCCTCGTGGGCGTGCTCATCCCTCTGCTTGGTGTGCATTTCCCACCACTTTCGCATCTGTGAGCTCTCTGCTGAGGCTTTATTTCCTCAGAGGTTACTCCCTGACCGAGGCAGTACAAAACCCTGAGTGAGAGCACAGACTCTGGGACCCCTCTGCCACCTGTCAGCTGTGTGGCCTGGGTGTACAGTTTCTCAATTCCTTATCTTTAGAAGGAGGACAGTAATAGTACCTTCCACGAAGGGTTTGTGGGGATTACCTGAAGGACTTAGGATATTGTTTGGTAATTTACTAAGTTTACTGAGTAATGATATTACTTTTATTAAATTAGGTTGCTTCCAGTTATTTTAGGGTGCCTTTTCTCCATAGCAGAATCAAAATCTAATTCTTTTTTTTTTAATTTAAAAAAAAAACACACTTTTTTTTTTAAAATTTGAGACAGAGTCTCAAGCTGTCACCCTGGGTAGAGTGCCTTGGTGTCATAGCT